CCAAATCAGGCTGAAACGGGTCGCATTGACCTACAACGCTTCCGTTCATCGGACGGACCCATCTTCTCCGGACCGTTTCATGACGTCGAACGTTTCATCACATGGATCCGAGGCGCCCAAATTTTTTTCGCCACGAAGGGCGTCAAACACGACGATGACAAGATACAGGTCATTGGCGGTCTCATCAGAGAGACCAACACACTTGCATTCTACGCCAACGGATTCGAAGAATTCCTCAGGAAACCGTGGTCCGAGTTCAGAACGAAACTCATCAAGTTCGCATTGCCACCGAACTGGCGTACGACTTTGAAAGGGAAATTCAAAAACCTCCGAATGACGAGCTCGGAGTCATTTCAAGCGTACAGCACGCGATCGCGCACGCTGCAAAGCATGCTGAACTTCGACCTCAAGACGCAGGCCATATCGGACTTCGACTTGGCAGAGTCCATGACGTTGGGGGCAAATGATTGTCTCCAATCGGAGATACACAATCATCAAACGCTTTTGCAAGATCCGTTTGACTTTGGCTCATTCGAGAATAGAGCGAGCGGCTTCTGGGACGGAATAGTCAAGCGATCCTTAATGGGATCGAAGCCAAGAATCAACTCAACATCTACCGGGGCATCGAACAACCCGCAGGCGACGCGATTATCAAAAGAGGAATTCGTCTGGCGAATTCATTCCTTCTCAGACTCGCAAGGAAAGTGCCACTTCTGCAAAAAGCAGTGCGGCAGTGTTGCAGGCAAGTGTGCCGGCCCGATTGACAAATCCCCAGTCGAGATTCCACCGACATTCGTCGTCCCACCGAAGCCGAAGGACTATCAGCCTCCCAGAGCAATGGGGCTTACGATGTCGACGGCAGGGAGACCGGTGCTACCTCCGGCAGGCCGGGCACCCAATAGATCGGCATCAGTGGCCAAGGTCAGTGAGCAAGCCTTATGCCCTGACCTGGATGCAGCGTCCGTTTCAGCGTTTGCTGCGATCGATGAAGAGCTTCGTAGGACGGCGGAAGACAGGTCAGTATCATCTAAAGTACCCAGGCGGATCGTAATTCGCTTTAAGGTCAATAATCACCACTTACTGGGCATGATTGACACAGGGGCCGAGATCAATTTGATTAACGAGCGGGCGGTGAAAGACATTGGCCTCCCGGTTTTGAATCTCGTTAACCCGACCCGAGTCAGCTTGGCGCTGAGTGATACATCGAGGACACCTTTAATTTTAAAACATTTCACAAAGGCTACGCTGGTGGACGCACAGTCTGGGTTAGACTTCAACAATGTGGAACTCAGCCTAGGACCAATAGCAGGAAATTACGATATGATCCTTGGAATCCCCTTCTTATCTCATTTTAATCTTTCTGTTTCTATATCTCAACATAGTATTATATGCGACAAGTCGGGTCGTTGTGTTGTAGATTACAGAGCTATTGATGCAATGACAACAAATGACTCTCCCAGTTTACCAATCACAGACCCCAAAACCTATCCTTGTACTCAATCAGAAACCACGGTCTTGGGAGAATTCTCAGATTTATTCCCTCAGGACATCCCGGCAATCCTAGAGGAAGACGAACCCGGTTTTGCATCCAGGGAGGGCTCCTTCCCACAAAAAATGCAACATGAGGCTTCGAAAGTTCGACACAAAATCATATTGACAGACCCGGATGCTCAGATTAAGGAACGCCAATACGCATACCCACAGAAATATATGGGTGCATGGCGTAAGTTATTGGATCAACATAGTGGATGAACTGGCTCGTATGGTAGCCACAGGGAAAGTATTCTCGATTCTGGACCAAACCAACGCTTTCTTTCAGACACGGATGCGAGAAGCCGATATACCACTCACCGCGGTCAAGACTCCTTGGGGTCTGATGGAGTGGGTTGTCATGCCGATGGGACTGACAAACGCCCCGGCTACTCATCAGGCACGCTTGGAGGAAGCGCTGGGAGAACTCATCAACGATATATGTGTTGTCTATCTTGATGATATTGTTATCTTCTCTGGGTCTTTTCAGGATCACGAGAAACATGTGCGGCTGGTGTTACAACGCTTACGATCAGCAAACTTATATTGTAGCCCGAAGAAAACCAAATTATTCCGGGGAGAAGTTAAATTTCTAGGTCATTGGATTTCGGCAGAAGGTATCCGTGCAGACAACGAAAAAGTAGCCCAAGTTCTCGACTGGAAAGCACCGTCTTCGGCGAAGGGGGTCAAAAAAGTTCTTGGGAACGGTACAATGGATGAAAAAATTCGTGTGGGGATTGGAGAAGTACGTCAACACCTTGACCCCGCTAACTAGCAGTAAACTAGCGGCGAAGGATTTTCGGTGGGGTGAAGCAGAAGACAAGGCGTTCGAGAACATCAAGCAGATCATGACATCCCTTCCGTGTCTCAAGAATGTGGACTACAACTCGGAGGATCCACTTTGGTTGTTCACGGATGCCAGCGGTTCTGGCTTGGGGGCGGCGCTCTTTCAAGGAAAGATTGGCAAGAAGCATCTCCTATTGCCTACAAGTCTCACCTGATGTCACCAGCAGAACGCAATTACCCAGTACACGAGCAGAAACTGTTAGCGGTGATTCACGCACTACAAAAGTGGAAGATGCTGCTTTTGGGCATGAAAGTCAACGTCATGACGGATCACCACTCCTTAACGTACCTGCTGAAACAGAGGAATCTCAGTCGGAGGCAAGCCCGTTGGCTGGAGATTTTGTCGGATTTCGACTTACGCTTTGAATATATCAAAGGTGAAGACAATTCAGTAGCTGACGCGCTATCCAGGAAACACTTGGGGGAAAGGGATTCAGAGGTCTCTCAAGCGGACGTGGCGTGCGTGGCGGCTCTCACGGAACTAGGTAGTGAATTGTCCGGAGCGTTGAAGGCTAAGATTCTGACAGGTTACGAAGAAGATGATTTCTGTTTATCAGTGAGGAAAGTGCTTCCGTTGCGGGAAGACTGTGCAGAGGTGGAGGGGTTGTTGTTCATTGATGGTCGACTAGTTATCCCCAATGACCTGGGTCTACGGCGTAAACTAATAGAAGAAGCACACGCTCGGTTGGGGCATCTAGGATACTTGAAGACAGTTGTGGAACTGCGACGCGATTTTTTCTGGCCCCTTATGGCAAAAGACACGGCTTCCTTCCTTCAATTGTGTGACACGTGCCAAAAGACTAAAGCCCCAACAACTGCTCCGACTGGAAAAATGCTAACACCAACTTTTCCACGGACACCACTGACAGATCTAGCTATTGATTTTGTGGGCCCACTAAAGACGTCCAATCACTACGATATGATTCTAACATGTACTTGCCGGTTGTCAGGGTTCACCAGGATCATTCCAGCCTTGCAGACAGACACAGCGGAACGCACGGCCACTCGACTTTTTAATGGCTGGCTAGCATTGTTTGGCGCGCCTAATTCAATTCTGAGTGATAGGGACAAAACTTGGACCTCAACACTATGGAAGGTACTAATGGAGAAGCTACACATCAAGTTTCACATGACAACATTGTTCCATCCACAAGCAGACGGGAGGAGCGAGAGGACTAACAAAACGGTTGGTCAGATCCTTCGAACTTTCACATCAAAACGTCAGGGGAAGTGGCTGGATGCAATCCCCGCAGCGGAATTCGCTATCAACTCGGCTATTAATGTCGCAACCGGTTATAGTCCCTTTGAGTTGGTGTTTGGGCGGAAAGCATCCTTATTTCCATCAGCGGATTCTACAGGGGAGACCCCAGATTCTTTGGCGAAGTGGGTGAAATGGCGAGAAGGGGCCTGGCAAGAGGCGCGAGACGCATTGTGGACCAGCCGGGTGAAGCAGGCCATTCAACATAACAAAGGTACCAAGGAGCGGGCCCCACTGGAGCCTAACTCGTGGGTACTCCTCAACTCAGCAGATTGGAGGAGTCGACAACAGGGCGGGGTTGACAAATTGAAAGAGCGGTTTGAAGGCCCCTATCGCATATCACATGTCAGCAACCACGGTCAAAATCTCACGCTGGAACTTCCAGAGGGCGACCGCCGTCACCCAACTTTTCATGTCTCAAAGATTAAGCCTTACTACTTCCGGGAGGACAGTGAAACCCTGGACAATTAGAAATTCTTCCATGTTGGATCCTATCACGGACGTCTTGCACTCGTCCAACTCCTCCGTTGATTCCTTTATTCTTTTCCTCCTCTACGTCTTCCTAATTTCCTTTCTTTCCTTTTTTTAACCTGAAGTTTTTCTTAATCTTTCATTTTTTTTTGGCTCAAACTTATAATCTCTTGCCTTCAGTTTCAATTTATATTTCCTAGTCTTCATTCACATTATAGGGGGGGAGAATGTGAAACCTCGCCACACACGAGTTTCACAAGGACAATCACACATAGCTTACATAATCATCATCTAATAAATACCTTTCAGATTCACTCTTCCTAACTCGGTAGAGAACCATTAACTTCTATTCTACCAAGCTAGGTGAGTTCATACTTATTGTTTCTTCTCTTTGACTCTTCTTCTCTTTTTTCCTTTCTGTTATCATTTTTATTGACTATGAAGCTTGTACTGAGAGAACCATTAACTTCTATTCTACCAAGCTAGCTCATTTGAAATAAAGATACTCAGGTTCTAGAAAACGTTCTCTCCAGGCTCATTGCCTGTTCTAGAAGCTACTAAATCGACGACAGTGAAGAGCTCAGACGGAACTCTTACAGTGTTAGAATCTGATTTGAATTTTGTAGATCTGGATGTTGGGCCGGAGCTTTTTGATAAATCTAGTGAACAGGACCCTAATGAAGCAATTAAGACAAGAGAACCTGCTTGGCATTCCACAAAGGCCAGTTTGGATTTTACGGCTGCCTCTGTCATTGAATACCCATTGGCTTCTAGAATCAACAAGTCCAATCCTTCCCAAAGTCAGTGTGAAAACCTCAAGTCATCCACAGTGCTCTCTGTTTTGCTTCCTCCGGTCAAAGATTCTACACTGTCAGTTCCTTCAGATCAAGAAGACATGGACGACAATCCCGAGTTGTTTGAGCAATCAAATGAAGATCCAAGCCCTGCTGAAGTCACCGCCGCTAGACCGATCCTTGCACTTAATCAAGTCGCTTCCCCGATCAACAATCATCTTTCTACAGAGATCTTGGAAAATCCTTCTTCTGCCTCTGCCCCAGCCGTCACAGTTTGTCAACCATTGATCTGTTACTATTGTCATTGTAAGGGCCAAAGGATGGCCCACTGTCATGCACTCCAGAAGGACAAAGAGAAACGCCTTGTTGATCAGAAGGGGCACAATTATTTCCTTCCCAGCGGTGCCTGGATCCCTTTTGACCCTGTCCGACCTATCCACAGTGTTGTGACGGCATTTCAAGCTTCAAGTCGTTCCGCTCCTCCATTTCCTGCGCCGTATTGGATGAGTTGTGGCGCTCTTCAGCCATGGTATCCAACAAATAAGCCAATTCCCTGTGCAGCTCCGCTAGTTTCTGAATCTTATCATTGTCACTTGATTTGCAAATCACTCAACATTGAGTCTTCTCAACCCAAAGTCTTGTCCTCTGATCCACCCTCTCCAAAGTGTTTGGCCAAGTTTATCAAGGAGGCAAACTCTGTCCTGAATAAGATTATCAATCTGATGGTTCCAGGTTTCTCCACTTCCTCCTTGGACAACGTTCATCTTCCCAAGAGTCAAATTCCTGAAAGGACAAAGGCAAGAAAAGTGATTCCCCGGAGGCATAATGGAGTTAAAGTAAGTTCTCCAATGTGCACCTCCAGGGCTTGTTGCCACCAAAATAGTCAACACTCTATCTCGTGCCACACTTGTGAGTGTTGAGTTATCTGTGACATGTTCACTGCTTGTTTCCATATCTACAGTTGTTATTGTTCTCTCTTCAGATTTCACTTCTCACATGTCACATTCTGTGACATTCTTCATGTTTTCTTTAGTTCTTATACTGGAGACATCAGTGCTTGGATGTTCTCTTTTTCCTCATCCATTCCAACACTCTTGTCTCCAGGTATGTCTCTCTTTCATCTTCTCTTTGTTTTTCTCTTTCTCTGTGTTGATATGAATCTTCCATCCATTCCAACACTCTTGTCTCCAGTCCATCTCATCAGGTTATGAGCACCAGTTGTGCCTAACGCTCTTGAAGTCTATCTCCTTCCTCTCGCTCGCACTCAAATCAAACTATCATTGGACAGACAACCTCTTAGGATCATCGGTCATGCCCGGCAACAACTCCACCACCACCGGCGGTGATTCCTCGGCTGATCTCAACAATGCCTCCAACCTCAATGTCTCGGGTATCGTTCAGTTGAAGCCACAAGGCTCCGACTCAAACTATCTTGATTGGAGTTTTGTGGTTCTTTTCCACCTCCAATCGCTCAATCTCTCCTATGTTCTTGAACCTGTCAATATCAAGGAGCGCAGCGCTGCCTACATCAAAGACAGTGTCTCAGTCTCCTCGTTCATCGCTCAAACGGTACACCCCTCAAATCTTTGCTTCATCCGGTCTCACGGCTCTGACGCTGCTGGTATGTGGTCTTCCCTCTCGGAGGCTCACCAGGACTTTTTGTCCGGAGGACGAATGCACTGGCTTTGCCAGTTGGTTGTTTCTCGTCTGGTCAGCAATGACATCGACACTCATATTGAGTCGATGGCTGTCTGCGCGGAACGACTCAACTCTCTGGTTACCGCGGACAAGCCTCTCACCCTGGACGACATCTACTTGACCGCTCTCCTCACTTCTCTTACAGACGACTGGTTGCCGTGTGTCTCTTTGTTAATGAATGAAGACTCCATTCCCTCTTCCAGGATTGTGTCAGCTCTCAAAGCTGAGTCCCTTCGTCGCAAGGCTTGGCGCAAGGACGATGTCTTGGTCTCAGCGGCCAGAACTCGTGCCGATGCAAATAAGGATCTTCCTTGATTCAACTACGCCCTTCACTGCTCCTTTTGAAACCGACCTGGCCATGATCTTTCTATCTGCCAGAACGCCGCCCGTGTTCTCTCTGAACACAAGTCATCTCGCTCGGTCACAAACGACCACGATTCTTGTCGCTCTAACGCGTCCATGGACACCAATTGTCCCTCAACAAACTCTTGTTCATCTCATCCGTCATCCCCGACCAAGCCGTCCGTGAAGGCCGGTCAAGCCACCGTCGTGGAGTTAGGCTATGAATCCTACAATGAAGAGTCCGATTTCTCCATTCCTGAGCACGCTGGAAACACCGTGGTGCACGATTCACCCCCCGCCTCCCCTGAGTCAGCCTTCCTGGCTGACGCAAGTATAGACTCAGGCTGTTCTATCTCTATGACTCCTGATGTCTCCGCGGTTATTTGTGCCCGTCCCGACTCCACCATTGTCCGCTTAGCTGATAGCTCAAAAGTGTCTGCGACCCTCAAAGGTAGTACCTCCCTCCCTCTCTCCACTGACAAGGAAGTGCCTGCTGTTATGAGCTGTGGAGGACTGGAACTGGGGACGTTACATATGTAGAGAGCCTGTTACGTACATGTCACGAACTTCGAACTTGGAGTTCGTTCGAGATCCGAACCTTGTACATTCCTCATCTTGCAATCTACCATCAAGACTCAGAACCCAGAAGATCCCTCACCTGCTCTCCCCAGAACACCCATAACATATTGCAAGATCAACTCATACGGAGACCAGGAACAAAACACCCAGAACACCATCTCTCAAACCTAGAAAATCAACCCTGAAAACTCACCTCTCAAACCTTGAAAATCATCCCCTTGAACTTCTCTCAAACCTTGTCTATCAACTCTGAAAAACTTACCCCCTACCTCCCTCTCACCCTCACAGACCCCTCAGGACCCCCCAGGAACCCCTCAGGCCCCCCAGGAGGTCGTTTTTTTCGTTTTTCATCGGATCGCGCCGGATCGTTTGTTTTTGTTCTTCGGATCGTTGTAGGGCCCTCGGAACACGCCCAGGACCCTCGGATACCGCTCGGAACGGTCCCTAAACCCCTCTAGACCCCCCAAAGACCCCGGATCGTCGTCGGACGCTCCAGAACCAACCGGATCGTCATCGGACGACCCAGACAGGCCCCCCACGCCCCTGGACTCTCCCCAAGGCTCCAGAAGCCTCGCGAACGCCTCCCGAGGCCCCCGCAGCGCAGCGAAGCGCCCCAGGACGCCCCAGCGCGACCCTAGAGCCCCAGCAACCCCCCCAGCGCCCCCTAAGGCCCCCAGGCGACTTGCCAGAGCGCCCTAGAGCCCTCAAAAGGCCCTCCAGAGCGCCCCACAGCCCCACCGCAACCCCCAGAACCCCAGGATAGAGGGATTGGAGGACTGTTAGACCCCCAAAACCCCCTGTAAGACCCCTGCTCACCCCCAGGAACCAAGAGAGGACACCCAGGCCCTCAGAACCATCAGAAACCCCAGTAAGAACCCCAGACCCCCCAGATAAACCCCCAAAAGACCCAAGCCACCCCTCAGACACCCAGGATCCCCCAGAAACCCCCCCCGAGCACCCAGAACACCCCCCGAGAAGCCCCAGAAACCCCCCAAGACACCCCAGATCCCTGAAGAGAGCTCACACGAGCCGTTTGGCGAGGCGTAAAAGTACAAAAGTAAGCCTCCACAATTTGAGTTGCACCTTCCGAAGTCACTACACACCGTCAAAGCATTACCTGCCACTCTGTGAGCCGCCCCGTACTGTTTTGCTATGGACGTAGATGAGAAGGACGCCAAACTCGCCGAGGTCCAGGCGCAACTGTCTAAACTCCTGGCCGTGGTCGAGGAGGAACGCAAGGTCCGGAAGGAGACGGAGGAGCGTTTAGCCAGGAAGGAGGCCCAATTGACAAAGGCCCTGAAGAACGCCGACAATAAGCCGCTAGGACCAGCCCCGCCGGCCAAAGGCCCGAAGATCGGCGGCCCTGACAAGTTCGATGGCACCCGTGGAGCTAAAGCGGAGGTTTTCATCAACCAGGTAAACCTCTATGTCCTGGCCAACGGACACCTCTTTGGCACCGACCGCGCCATCATGGTGTTTGTGTTGTCCTACCTGACTGGACCGGCTAGCTCTTGGGCCCAACCGTGGATGAAGAAGGTGATGAGCAATACTGAAGCTATCAGTAAAGACAACTTCAACACTCAGTTCACCGCCATGTACTGCGACACCGAGAAGAAGACCAAGGCGGAAGCAGCCCTACGAGCGCTCAAGCAGACCAAGTCGGTTTCTCACTACACCCACCAGTTCAACCTGCACGCCCACAACACCGGCTGGGCTCCCGCCGTCCTCGTCAGCCAGTACAGACAAGGCCTGCAATCCCAAATACGCCTGATGTTGCTGATGAGTCGTACCGAATTCTCCGAACTGGCCGACATCGCCACCCTGGCCCTGCAGATCGACAATGAACTCCACGGCCTTGCACCCACCGAGACGCCCAAGACCCCGGACCCCAATGCGATGGACTTATCAGTCATGCGTGGCCGCCTTTCGGATGCGGAGAAGACCAGGATGATGCGAGCGGGCCAGTGCTTCCAATGCGGGAACCAAGGCCACATCTCGAGGGATTGCCCGGACCGTGGACAGAAGGGGAAAGGGAAGGAGAAGTCCCGGATCGCCGAACTCAAAGAAGAGGTCAAACAGTTGAAGGCAGGAGGCAGTAGAGCGGAGTCGTCAAAAAATGGAGGAGCTCAGGAATGAAGGATGTGCCTATCCTGAGCTAAAGATGGGCGCACCGCATCCGGATATCCGTTCGGATTCGGATATCCTCTCACCATTTCAGCGGAATTGGACATCCGCATCCGCATCCGCATACGCTGGCGGATACCCGCCAGCGTTGGCGGGTATCCGCGCGGATACCCGCGGATACCCGCCCTTTGAATGGGCGGCGAGGCTCTTCCAGGAGTGTTTGTTTTAAAAAAAAGAAAAAAGAAAAAAAGAAAAAGAAAAAAAAAAAAGAAAAATAAAGAAAAAAAAACCAGCCCTCCCGGAGAGCTGTCCAGAGAGCCCCTCGTCGGGAGGAACCCCACCCGGCGAGCTGGTTTAAAAACC